TTTTCCATGCTGTAAAAATAAATACAGTGATTTAAAACCCTGGAAAGTCAAAGTCAGTGATAAATAGTCCAGCTCTGTGGAAATGTGGGGTCTGACTTGCTGACATCATCTGTGCTCTCTGTGCACATTTCGTCCAATTCAGCACATCTGGGCATTTTTTCTGCAAGTGCCAGGGGGTTGGCCACGTGTTTACAGGGCTTCTCTCTCCATTTTCTGTGACTGCAAGGGGGTGATCCATCCTTGTGGAGGCCAATGCAATGGCCAGGCATAGAGAAGGCTCACTGGAGATGGCAGTTGGGAAGCATTCGAAAATTAGTACTTGACACACGTGTTAAACAAAACCAGGTTTGTAGGGAGGGGTCATACTTTTTTATGAGAGCAACTTCTATAGCTGGAAAAAATGGGCAAGCTTTTAGACAGACAAGACCAAAAAAAAAAAAAAAAAACAGGAACAAAACCAGGAGTGTTCAAAGCTAAGTACAAGCTGAGAAAAATTGCTTTGCTTTTACTTCACCATGTCAAACAGAGCACTGTTAGCACTGATTGGCCACCTCCTAGAGCTTGGAGAGTCATCAAGCTCTGAGTTAAAAAGAAATGGTATTTGGTCCGGCTACATCAGTCCGTATTTATCCCACAGATGGCTCCACCAGCTTCAGCAGACAAACATATTTAACCAAAGCATTTAATCATAATTTCTATTGAGGAATTTTTTTATTTACAGTAAAAGGCATGGTGGCCTTAGTGGGCAGGACTCTAGGCTGAAACTCTGAAGTCAACCCTCTATTCTTCACCCAGCTGCTGTCCTACTGAATGATCTACACTGAGTAGGTCTATCTGTCAGCTTCTGCATGGTAAATGGGCATAATGAAACTGGCCTCCTCACAAAGTCCTTTGGGATCTACAAAGGAGAAGTGTTATACAGCAGCTATACCGTTCTTCATTACTGGCTCTTTTTTATGTGGTTCTTTTAATAGACATTTGGGTTCTGATTTAGATCTTCTGAACAGGGTGTAACACTACTGGTGCTGGTAGCAACTCTGTTTTCCATATGTGACTTTAAGACTCCTTCCACTGCTATGTAAGCAGTTAAAAAGTTATTTCTCTAAAGTTCCCAATGTCAGATATGCTCTAAAATAAAGGCTGTTTATAACATTATATATCTCTATATATATATATTTAAAAAAAACAAAACAAACAAAACCAAACAACAACTATGACAAATAAACATTCATGTTGCAAAGCCAAGCAACACTGGATATTCCAGAATGCAGGTTTCCTGGGCATCCTTAATTAGCTCTTTTGAATATTTATGATGATATAGCTTTAATTGCATGATAATGTGTAGGGTTTTTTTCCCTTAACAGATCCTTGTTTCACCCAGTCCGTCTGTTTTAACCCTTCTGTTTTTAAGAGATTTGGCCCTCTGGCCTCAGATCTCATGTTAAAGCACATGGTCCAAGTATTTCTCTGAACACAGGAAAACACTTAATTCCCTTCCAAGCTTTTGTTTCTCTGGTTCTCCCATGAAAGCATCTTAATATGCCCTAAATCCTTATGAATGTATTTCTGCAACAGATCTGCACAGGGTGAGACTAGAGTTATCTTCACGGGATGACTGCCATCATGCTAAAGCAAGGAAGTACAGGGAGACAAAAGGCAAAACCGTTGTATTACAACTTTCAGTGAAAGCTGAGTGAGAGATGTGGGAACTT